GTTTAACACCGGCTGATGTGAAGTCTGTAAATGATGTCGGAGCAGTCGGTCTGCGAAAGAGCCGCTCTACTTCTGATAAATGGACGGTATGTTCAACCGATTCAGCTCAAGCAATCATTCAAATAGTACCAGCTGATGTATTAATGAACTTTAAAGTAAAAATGCTGAACAGTTAATAACCATTACGGTAAAATATGATGTTGTGTTTGCACTTTGATCACTGTGTACCTGGTACTATAGCAGAAATAAATCGGCACCGATGTGTGTTTGGTACAAACAGATCTTAGAAGTATTTTTGATGAAATGATCTCTGTGGAGCTGTGAAAAGTTTCCCTCCTGATTGGTGATCTGAGTCACGTGACGAACTCTTCACCTTTCAAGATGGATTTTTTCCAGCTGTAAAATGTCAAGAACAAAAAAAAAAAAAAAGCTTCCGATGAAGATGATGTTCTTTTTTATGTTTCTGATGTATTTTTGTGCCAGTTTTAGAGATTAAAGGCGTCGCGTCCGTGTTCACAGTGACAAACTTGCTATAGCTCGGCTTTGTTTCAATCACACTGATGGTTTTAACCACTAGATGGCGCTGAGGCTCCCGCTGCTGCTTCACGCGTTCACCTTCATTGTTCTTTCAACTTTTCATCTCAATGACAAAACTACAGCTACGTGACCTCAGCCGCTTCTGGAGCCTCAAGTGGACATAAGAGGAACTGCACTTTTCCCAAACCTGGATTTGCTGCTTGCACAAAGCTCCAGTGAGTCAGGAAGTATCTGAGTTTAGATTATCTTGTCACGTTTGATTAATTTGGTCTTAGAAATTCAAAGAGACTTCCAGAAACATCCGACTCTCAGTTCCCAATCACGCGGAACGGAGAAAAGCAGGAAACGTAAGAAGCTGGAAGTAGTTTCATGTTTTATTTTCCATTTTGATTCATCGACTGAACAAAACCATAAAGCGTTCAGTGCACATTATTTCTGTGAAGCTCGGCAGCAGCAGAGCCTCAGCGCTTCATTACAAAGCCTCTATTGAAATAGAAAAATGTGCATTGAGATTAAAGTGTTTCTATCAAAGCTGCTGAGTCGTCGTGTCTTTATTACCGTCGGCTCTCTGAACCGATCAGAGGAAGATCCCAGAGAGGCGTGTTTGCCGTCATTTATTCAACAGATTCATTTCATGTGTTTAAAAAAATCAACGTAAACAAACTGATTTTCTTATTTTTGAATCAAAGATGTCAGAAAATGTTGAGTCCAGCTTGTGACACAGCAACATCACGACTGTCACAGAGAACGTAGCTTCTATTTTTCCTCCTCTTCTTTCTCTGTTTCCTCCTCTTCTTCTTTTCCATCTTCCTCCTCATCTTCCCCCTCCTCCTCTTCTTCTCCACCCTCTTGTTCTTCCTCCTCCTCCTCTCTGTCTCCCGGTTGCTGCCCCTGGCCCTGCCCTGCACTCGGCCTCAGGTTCTGGGTTTGAACCCCGCTGAGTGTCGGTCGCTCCCCGCTCTCCTCACTGGAGGCAGCAGGAGGGGGAGGGGGAGCGAGAGGAGGAGGATGTGTCACGTCTCCGGGTGATCCAGCAGAAGGAGTCGACTTCTCGGCGTCCTTCAGGTGGGAGCTGTCATGGCTGCGGAGAGAGATTTGTTTTTAATTTCATGTTGTTTGTGTTGTGATATTAGAATATAAAATTAGGACCAGTACTGCATGGAAAAAAATATATATTAAAATTATCTATATAATTTCCTTTATTAAAAAAAAAAAAC